TCCGCAAACCTCCGCAAACAAAGGTTGCAAGGAGGTTGCAGGGAGGCTTGCCAAAAACACCTTCCAAACAACCTTCCTGAGGAAGGTTTTAGGAAGGTGTCAGGAAGGTTTTTTCCACAAAAAAGGGACACATGCACACATGGACACAAATCATACATGCACTCACAGGGACACAAATCACGCCCAACACATCACACGCTAGACAAACATAACATACACACACACACAACACCGACAACACACAAAAAGCACGCACCACACAAAGCACACATCGCACACACACACACACACAGACACACACACACACGCACACACACACAACACTCACAATCCTGGGGCCTCCTGGAGCCTCTTCTGGTATCCAAGTCGGGCCTCCTGAGGCTTCCTGGGGGGCCCTGGTACACACATCGCAAGGTGTGGCAACCCCACTTGCGCTCGAGTGCGACTTCGCTGTTGCATGTCACTCCTGCTTCAAACGCCCCTTCAGCTTGTTGTATGAGCCTGGGCACACACGTGCCACTTGTATATATATATATATATACACGACCACCATACGGGTGATAAGGAGGTTTGGGGGGGGAGGGGCCGAGCAATGGGCAACAGTGGTGATTGTTCTCCTGACGATGCCAGTGGAGATTTTTTTGTCGGAGGCCTGCTGAAACCCCTCTTGTCGCCACTGTCCAAATCGCTTTAAAATATTGCTCAACGGCTGCCCTTCGGCGGTCGAGACCGATGTACCGCCATCATAGCTATTTTTCCTTTGCTCAAACAGCGCAAACGTCTGGAAACCCAGCGAAAGCGTGCCTCATGCAGTCAGAGAATACCGAAGTGCTGGCAAAGCCTGGCATACACCGTGTCCCCCTAATAGCACTACAGCAAAGCCCGTGCGCTGGGAAAACCCGTGCGCTGGTAAAGCCCGCGCACTGCAGCAAAGCACGTGCCCCGCACGGGCTTTGCACGTCATTCGCTGTCTCATTCGGACTCACTACCGATATCACAATTGATAGCACTATCGACATCATCATCAACATCAACATCATCATCATCATCGCCATCATCAACATCATCTCATCATCATCATTACCATCATCATCATAATCATCATCATAATCATCATCAACATCATCATCGGGACACCGACGGGACACCGACGGGACACCGGCGGGACACCGGCGGGACACCGCGCGCCACCGGCCGCCCGGCGGAGAATCATTTGGTCCGGCCGCGCCTCAGCCACAGGAGAGTTTCCTCTCGCCCGCCCACGCAGCTTCGCCTCGCCCGCACGGCACGCACGAACACGAAACCGAAATCGATTTCCCGGTAGGGGGGCTCTCCGTTCCACTTCGATATCACCCCCCAAGGTCCGATATATATATATATATATATATATGTAAACAAAAGAAAACGCCCTTTTCAAAAACCTCCACCTGGAAGGTTTTAGGAAGGTTCCAGGACGGTTTTTCCCAAACACCTCCCAAAAACCTTCCTGAGGAAGGTTCTAGGAAGGTTGCAGGAAGGTTTTCCCGATAAAAAAAAACAAAAACACACATTCCAAAAACCTTGCCGGATAAGATTTTAGGAAGGCTTCAAGAAGGTTTTTCCCAAACACCTTCCACCAACCTTCCCGGGGAAGGTTTTAGGACAGTTCCAGGAAGGTTTGTCCAAACAACCTTCCAGGAAGGTTTTAGGAAGGTCCCAGGGAGTTTTTTCCAAACAAAACCTTCCAAACATTTCCCTGAGGAAGGGTTTTAGGAAGGTTTCAGGAAAATGCTTCCCAACAGCCTTCCAAAACAACCTTCCTGAGAAACGTTTTAGGAAGGTTCCAGGAAGGTTTTTCCCAAACACCTCCCAACAACCTTCGTGAGGAAGGTTTTGGGAAGGTTGCGGGAAGGTTTTCCAACAACCTTCCAAACCACCTTCCTGAGGAAGGTTTTAGGAGGAAGGTTCCAGGAAGGTTTTCCCAACAAGCCTTCCAAAAACCGTTTTGCGGAAGGTTTCAGGGAGGTTCCAGGTTGGTTGTTCCTACGAACCTTCCACCAACCTTCCGGAGGCAGGTTTTAGGAAGGTTCCAGGAAGGTTTTTCCAAACAATCCGTCCAAAAACCTTCCCAGGGAAGGTTTTAGGAAGGTTCCAGGAAGGCTTTTCCCAAAAACCTTCCCAACACTTCCCTGAGGAAGGTTTTCGGGCGTTTTTTTCTTCAAAAACCTTCCAAACACCTTCCGGAGGAAGGTTTTAGGAAGGTTCCAGTACGGTTTTCCCCAAAATTTTCCAACAACCTTCTTCATGAGGGTTTTAAGGAAGGTTTCAGGAAGGTTTTTTGTCCAAGAGCCGTACAAAAACAAATTGTCATGCGGAAGGTTTTAGGAAGGTTTCAGGACGGCTTTTCCTTAAAACCTTACAGACAGAAAACCCTTCCTAAAACCTCCCTCAGGAAGGTTTTAGGAAGGTGTTTGGGCCAACCCCTCCTGAAACCTTCCTGAGGAAGGTTTCAGGAAGGCTTTTGGAAGGTTTTTTTTGAAGGTTTTAGGAAGATTTCAGGAAGGTTTTTTGGAAGGTTTTTGGAAGGTGTTTGAGAGGTGTTTTGGAAGGTTTGTTTTTGTTTGTTTGTTTTTTGTTTGAAGGTTGTTGGAAGGTTTTTGGAAAGTTTTTGGAAGGTGTTTCGAAAAACCTTCCTGAAACCTTCCTCGCCCCCCCCCCCCCCTCTGGGAAAACCTTCCAAAAAACCTTCCTCAGGAAGGTTTCAGGAGGGGTTCGTCGGAACTCCCGCACCGGTCTCCTTCTATCGGTGTCTTGCGAGGCGAGCAACGGGCGAGCCTCCCATGTAGCTCTGGCAACTCATCGTGGTCTTAGTCATGCCATCATCCGTGACAGTTTGGCCAACTTGTCCGTTCACGTGTTGTTGACGGGTGTTGGGTACGTCGCCAGGGTATTTTGAGGGTGCCTCAGGCGAGAGCCAGATACGACAAATTCGCGAGCTCACTCAACATCACTATGGTTTGATGATGCATGCAACAAGATATTCATTTTCGATTAATGGCGTTGTACACGATATCCTCCAACATCATGCTGTGATGATGTCTCAGGTGACACGCTTGTTTTAGGTCACGGTGGCGGGTTGAGCCGAGACCCCACTGGGAACTTGCTGGAAGGGTTCAAAGGGTTACCACTCGGCACGCAAACGACCCCTTATGCAACCACCTGTGGCGGTTTCAGGGTTTTCGGTCCATCCCGCCACCCTGCATGAGTTGTGGGCCACAGGCCTCTTGGATGCCTCCATGGGGGATCTTGGGGTGCCTCCCGGGGACCTCTTGTAGGCCTCTTCTTGGGGGCCTGTTGATGGCCTCTGGGGGCATCGTGGGAGCCTCTTGGGGGCGTCCTGGGGCCTCTTGGGTTCCTGTGGGGGCGTCTTGGAGGCCTCTTGGGCGTCTCAGGGGCCCGCGTAGCACGAGAGGGCTCGCTGGGGCCAGTTCGTGTTCCCACTTCCGGGACCGGGAGCAGTGAATCATTGAAGTGTGGCTCTTTTCGGCGCCTTGCTGGCCGAAGAGCCCCCCACCGTCAACCTGCAGCGCCGGCGAAAAAAACAAAAAAAAGAATTGAATCACATTATGCCTTTCAATGGTCTGTGACCTCTTGTGAACGCCACCACGCGTGGCGCGTGCGGGAGATTCCAGGAGCGCTCAGAACTCCAGGGCCTGCCCCGCCCCCTCCCCCAGTCGTAAGTCGGGCGCGCCCCCCTACAGGGGAATTTTCGACGAAAAATAAGAAATATTATAACAATACCCCAAAAGGTCAAACATACTCAAACAATAGTCCCCAGACTTTTTTTTATTTATTTTGGGACTTTTTATTTTTCGTCCGAAATCCCCCTGTAGGGGGACAGGCCCGACTTAAACCCCAGTCGGTGCATACGGCACGATGGCGGATAACAGTGGAGGAAGTCTCAATCAGGAGACGCATATTGAAAGTTGGCCGCCCTCGGTCCGTACATCTGTTGCACATGTTTGACCCTCTGGCCCCAGAGGTCCTGGAAGTCTTAAGCGAGATCCCCATTTTGAAAATGAGATCGCCCTCGATCTGTATAATCGGTGGAGGCTTTCAAGACAACTGCTTGCGCCGCTGGGGCGAGACCCCCATTTCGAAAACGAGCGCCGTCCAGCCGTTTAACAGTTCAAATATTTGAAGACGAATGTGCGCGGCGCTGAGGCTACATTCCGAAAGTGGATTGCCCTCACTCCGTGTAGTTCTTGGAGTTTTCCAGCTTCAGGGTGTAAGCGGTGGGGAAGTCAGACGACACGGCCAGTCTGGCCTCTGGGTCCTTTTCTTCTGGGCGATCTGGGAGGCATCTCAGGCCGCTTGGGCTTTCGGAGGCCCCAAAAGGCGAGGGAGCGAGCACACGTCGACACAAAAGATACACAACTTTTCTGGATCCTCCTGGACCGTCCTGGGGGCCGAGGACCTGCGACCGGGGACTGGGGACCAGGGACGGAGCCAGGGGACCCAGAACTGGGGATAGGGATTGGGGACTACGCACCGGGGACTGGGGACCGGGGACCAGGGACCAGGCACTGGGGACCCAGACCCCCGACGTCATGATTTTTTCATGACGCGACCCCCAGAGGTCCCAACCCATTTCCCGGGACCGGTTTTTCATCCTTTGTAGTTCTTTGACGGTCCCGAGGCCCAGTGAGGGCCCACAGAGGCCGAAAATGGCGAAAAACCTCCCGTCGTGATTTTTTCATGACCCGAGGGGGTCTGGGGAGCGGGGACTGGGGACAAGGGGGCTGGGACTGGGGACTTGGGACTGGGGGCGGGGTCCGGCGGCCAGGGACTGTGGACCGGGGACCGGGGACCCAGGACCGGGGACGAGGGACCGAGGACCAGGGACTCGGGTCTGTGACCCAGGACTGCGGGACCCGGGACCGGGGAACCGGGGACCGGTATCGTAATCGTCATCCGACTGTTGTCCATAGAGCAGTCCTCATCATCAGCACTATTGTCCTCCATTTTGGCTCAACGTCCGCGAGGTGAGTGCATCTCCTCCTGGCATCTCAATCGAACAACTGCTCTTTCTTACCCTTTACATCTGCTCTTTCTTACCCTTTCAAGCCATAGTCGCCTCAGTCATGGCGTACAAGCTAATCATCGCGACGGCGTCCGCGTTCGCTTCCATGGTGGGCGCCGAGCTGCATCTCATCCAGGTGTCCGTGAGCCCGACGCCGAGCCCCACGCCCCACCCGACGGCTCCAACGCCAGCGCCTACCTCCGAGCCGACGACGGATTTGTGGTTGCCAGTGCTGAGCAATGATCATGCGGATGGCACCATCGGTAGGTATTTCAATTTCGAGGTTGAGATTGATTTGAGGTTTCAATTTCCGTGGAACGGTTTACTGGCCAGATTTGAGGCAATGCCGCGGTGGGGTGGAGCTTGCGGTTTGTTCTGGTGTGCTTTGGCAAGGTACCAGTGGTGGAACGGCCGGCAATTCTCATGGACGTTTCGACAGTGCAAGTGAATATGCGATTCATCGTGATTGGAAAGTGGGTGATATCGCTACAAATGGAAACTGTCAGCCCAGTCCGACGCCCAGTCCGACGCCCAGTCCGATCCCTAGCCCCACGCCAAGCCCGACGCCGTACCCGACGGCCTTCCCGACGCCGTATCCGACGGCTGACGCTCTGCTATTCGCATGCGATTTCGATGATGCTTCGGATCTTGGCAAAACACTGCTGGTACGGAATCCACGTGTTTGCGCACGTTCTACGGGTCTTTTAAGCAGACGTCTGGCAAAAACAGCGTTGGAGCTGTTTCCTTCGAGAGCTTTTCAGGTGCAGCAGAATTCTCAGTTGGAGTGACGGGCGATACCTTCAGTATGTTGTTGTGGATGGACATGCGGGCACACAATCCGTTTACTTACGGTCGGTCTTACTTGATTTATTTTAGACCTAATGGGCAAGGGGCATTATATGTTGACAGCGATAACACTATTAAATTCAACAGCATGTACGGGAATTGGCAGGGTGAGGCTTCGTGGGAGAGATCATTTGCCTACGCGCCAGCGTTTGACACATGGGTGCATTTTGCTATCGTCTCAGACCCTTCAGGGACGCGCCTGTTCAAGGACGGTACATTGTTGTATGAGGCTCTCGCATCGAGTTGTGGCACATCGTACAGCACCGCTTTGGTCGACAAAGCAGTTATTGGCTCTTACTTCGGATCAGTTGGCAATTCAGGGTCGTACTTCTTGGATGCTTCGATCGACGACCTCCAGTTTTACAGGTCGGCGTTATCAGCGCAAGAGGTACACGACATCTGCGCTGCGACGCCAGCACCGACGCCGGCGCCTATTCCCGCGCCCCTGACGGCCGATCCGACGCCACACCCAACTGCCTTCCCGACGCCTTACCCGACGGCGTTCCCGACGCCGTACCCGACTGCCTTCCCGACGGCCGATCCGACTTCGTACCCGACGGCCTTCCCGACGCCGTATCCGACAGCCTCAAGCCCTAAGGCCGTCCCGGCGACAGTGTCGTCTGCAGTTGGCGATCCGCATCTGCAGAACATTCATGGTGAGCGGTTCGACCTGATGAAGACGGGCAGGCACGTCTTGATCCATATTCCACGAAGGGACGATAAGAACACTCTGCTTCGTGTGGACGGGGACGTGCAAAGGCTGGGTGGGCAATGCGCTGACATTTATCCGTAAGGGCTTCGCTCGATGCCGCCGGCCCCCTGTCTCGGATAATGGGAGATGCAAAAGCTAAATCATGAGGTCTGGGCGCCGCCGTGAAGCAGTGTCGGGACCTGTTTGTTTTTCAACCCTGACCCTACGGATCTACGTGAGGGGTGCCAAGGAATTTTAGAAATGTCGCAAATGCGGAACTGCGTGAGGGGTGCCGCCGCAATTCAGACATGTGGCAAATCCCATGTGGTTTTTGACCCTGACCCTGTCGATCCGCGTGAGGGGTGCCACCGAATTTCAGAAATGTGGCAAATCCCATTTGTTTTTGGACCCTGACCCCGCCGATCTGCGTGAGGGGTGCAATCGAATTTCAAACATGTGGCAAATCCCATGTGTTTTTGGACCCTGACCCCGCCGATCTGCGTGAGGGGTGCCAGCAAAAATTCAGAAATGTGGCAAATCCCATTTGTTTTTGGACCCTGACCCCGCCGATCTGCGTGAGGGGTGCTACCGAATTTCAGAAATGTGGCAAATCCCGTGTGTTTTTTGGACCCTGACCCCGCCGATCTGCGAGAGGTGTGTAAATGTTCACCCACCCCAGCAATTCAGAGCACACGCTCAGGGCGTGCTAAACCTGCCCGTTTGGGCCTCCCCCCCTCGCGCGGTCCATCAACAAGGAACACTAAGCAGCAAGAAGCAGAACTGTAACAGTGGAAACTGGAAGCTGCAACTGGTACAGGAAACTGCGAACCTTAGGCTTACAGCCTGGTGGCCCCACAAGGGGGCCAGCGGATTTCCAAGAGCTGAACATCACAGGGTCGTGGGCGAATGTGAAACGCGCTGGCGGTTTTCACTACAGCGCTCAGGTCATCGGCTACCACCGCCCCCGCTGGGCCAAGTTCGGGACCGTCCATGTGAAGGTCGCCCACGGGCGCACACAACAGGGCTTTAGGTATCTAAACCTCTACGTGAAGAACCTCGGTCGCGCCGGGTATCAAGTCGGAGGTTTACTCGGCGAAGATGACCACACCAAGGAAGCGATACCGCCCGAGGCGTGCCACCACCGGGTCGCCTTATAAACAAGGCGTTGCGATGGCTTTTACCTCAATGCTGTACTGAGCGGGGTGCATGGCTTCTCCTCCTGTTCCTCCGCTCCCGGATGAGGCAAATGAGCCAGCATGGCCACATGCCTATTGCTGCCTGGCCACATGCCTATTGCAAGTTTTGGGGTCTGAAGGTTTCTTCGGACACCCATCCATATTCTGATTTGGGTGGACTCGCTGCTCAGCTGGAGCAGCAGGGTTGCCCTCTGTACACGCGCTGTTGCGCCAGCTCCACTGAGACTTCCCGTGGCTTGCCTTTTGCTGCAGCGTCTAGTACAGTGATTGTTGTCTTGACGTGTCGGGAAACACGCCTTACACATTCTTTTGAGTCCCACTACGGCTTGGCCTTTCCGTTGGCGCGCTGGGGTCTGCCAGCTTCCTCGGAGAGTTAGCTGGCTTCATCATTAGGGGGAATTCACAGTCTTGGGCGCCGAACAGATTTCTTCGCCCCAGGGCCTCAAAGTTTTCCTTTGAGGCATGGGCTGTATGCGGGCGCGCGTGCAGCAAAGGCTTTGTCCAGAGCCGTTCGTTCCAGCCTTCCTCGCGTGCCCCCTATCCACATCCTCCTCCTCCTTCCTCCCTCTTGGCATGTCTCCCCTCTTCCATTTTCCATGTGTCATGCGTTTTGCAGCGTCTGCGGCGGATCCCCAGCCCATCCCAGAGTTGTCCGCTCGCTGCGGGTTCTCTTCGATGCTGCTGATGCGGTAACGTGGCCGCGCCTGGAGAGCGCATGTTCTTCCCTTTTCCTCCCTTCTGTCGAGGACTGTGTCCTCGACCTCTGCCTCTTCCACTTGTTTGTTGTTTCCTCTGATCTGTCAGCCACCCCGCTCTGGATGCGCGCGAAGCTCATCTTCATGGTTCTCTTCGCCCCCATCATCACCATCATCAGCATCACCACCATCACCACCATCACCATCATCATCATCATCATCATCATCATCAGCAGCATCGTCATCATCATCATCCTCCTCCTCATCATCACCATCATCATCAACACCAGCATTATCATTACACCTGAGAAGACCCAATCAGCGGATGATTTGAACATTGATGCTATGGATCTTGAGATCGCTTGTAAGATCGATAATGAGATCGATATTGTAATCGATAGTGAGGACGATTGTAAGGTCGATCGTGAGACCGAGAGTGAAATCGATTTGATGAGATCGATAGTGAGATCGATCGCGAGATCGCTCATGCGATCTCTAGTGAGATCGCTTGTGGGATTGATAGTGAGATCGATTGTGAGATCGATGGTGAGATCGATCGCGAAGTCGGTAATGAGATCGATAAGAAGATCTACCAGGAACCCGGGAACCCGGGAACCTCGCCGCCCTCCGAAGTCTGCCCGGAACCGGGAACTCGGGAACCCGGAACCAGGAACCTTGGGAACCCGGGAACCCAGTCTGCCACCAACATCGGCGGGGATTTTTCTCCAAATTCTTCAACTTCCGCTAGGACCCCTTCAGTGCAACCACTGATTAGGGATCATCCTCACCATCACCTTTCTCACCATCATCATCATCGTCCTCCTCATTATCATTCTCAGCATCGTCATCATCCATCATCATCATCAGCATCACCATTAGCATCATCATCATCATCATCAGCATCAACAACACCAGCATCAACATCAGCATCATCACCATTATCGTCATCATCAACAACATCACCATCACCCATCACCATCACCATCATCATTCGCATCATCATCATCATCATCATCATCATCATCATCATCATCATCATCATCATCATCATCATCATCATCATCAGCATTACCAACATCATCGTCCGTAGCAATCTTGGCCCAAGCCAGTCTTCAGTCGCGCGCATCTTGGGCGGCACGGGATGGCGGCGCGAGAAGAGGGAGGAGCTCGGGTCTACGGGGGGCCGCCCGATCCGCCCATGGCGGGGCCGCCCAGTGCACTTCGGTCCACTGAGACCACGCTGCTTGGCCCGACTGCGGCGCGGCGCCAGGCGCGGCGGCGGCGATGGCAGTCCGCTGTGAAAGCGGTCCGTGGCCGCGCGTCGCGAGTCCAGCCTGGCTCGTGGCGCGATCGCGAGGCAGCCGCTCGGGCTGCGCTGCGGCGAGACCCTGGCAGCAGCCGCCAGCGGCGCAGCGCGGCCCTGCACGCCAGGCGGGTCCCCCAGGAAGGCTTTGCTGGCGCCTCGCGGGCGGCCCTGGCTTGGGCGGCTGCTGGCCCGCGTCTGGGAGCGGCGCCAGGGTCGCCAGACGGGCCAGGGGGGCGAGAGCTCAGTTGAGCCGCCGCTGCCCCTCGCCGAGCAGCAAGGCGCACTGTTGGTCTCGCTGCCCGAGGCGATCGCGGTGCATGTAGTCGGCATGCTTGCCCTCCCCTATCGGATGCTGGCGCTTCAGGTGTCAGGCGGAGCCGGTTGGTCTCTCGCAGAGAGCCCCCTCCAGCTCGCGGTGGCGCTCGAGGAGGAGCTGCGGACCATGGGGCAGCTGCAGCGGCTTGCTGATGCTAGGCCAGTCAGGGTCGCGATTTTCGGCGGCGAGGAGGTGCGCGAGTTCATCGTCTCCGACGCGGCCCCGTGCCCCGATCGCTGTCCGAGGACGAGGGCGCGTCGCAGCTGACCATGCTGCGGGATGAGCTGCACCATGCCGCGTCGGACAGCACTCGGTACAGCTCTCTGGTCGCGAAGCCGGCTCGGTACATCCGTTCGCTGCAGGAATGATGGGCTGTCGCGGAGCACGCGCTGACGGCGCAGCTCGCCTCGCTCAGGGAGCAGCTGCAGGTGTACGTCGCGCGGAGCACGTGCGAGGCGGCCGACCTGGTGCCTGCGGCCGCGGGGGAGCACTACGACGACGCATCCGACGGTTTTCTCTCGTCCCTCGTGGCGGAGGATCGAGGCGGAGAGGGCGCGTCCGCCGACCGGTTCGACGACTTCGATGTCCTCCTCGATGGGGCCGGGGCCCTTCGGGTTTTGCCCTTCCTGCCCACTGTCACCGACGGACCAAGCGGCTTCAGGGCTCTCACAGACATGACATGGCAGGGAGGGGTTCCGCAGACATGGGGCGCCTCGCCGACGAGCTGAATCGGGCGGCTGCGACGTCCGTTCCCGAGGAGCTTGACGGCGAGATGGTGGCTGCGGTTCCCAGGGGCGCCGCGGCGCCTGGAGTCCACGTTGACGAGATCGAGTGGGGCGCCCAGCAGGCGATCATCAAGCAGCGCTGTGCAGCGCCGGGGAGGCTCAGAGTCCTCCGCGGCGCTGGCCCAGCAGCTGCGGGTGACGCCAGCGCCCCTGCAGGGCCAGGCGGCGACGGTTTCGGCAGCGGCGGCGGCCGAACAGTTCCCAACGGGGGCGATGGCAACGGCGCCGGCTCCTTGTCTGCGGGCGAGCTTCTGGAGGTGGCGGCCGCCTCGCGGATGGCCCTCGCCGCGGCCAACCTTTTCTTTGGGGTTCCTCTCGAGGCTGTTAAGGCCCAGTTATGCGACCCCCCCCCTCAAGTTTCGTTCAGTGCGTCGCCCGAGCGTCGCCCGTGCGCCGGCCCTGGTTTGCGTCTCTGTCCCGAATCCCGGTCCCCCAGACTGCGTGGGCGACGTATGGCGCGACTTCGGAATTTATCTGGCGATATATAGGTTTCCGACGCCGGTGCACCAGCAGCCATTTTGGCGGTCGTGGCGCACTGTAGTTCGACGGTCCACAAACGCGTTCTGTTGTCAATTCGGCGCAAGAGGATTTGCTCGCGCGCATTTTCGGGGGCGCCAACCGTTGCTGAGGACGAAGACGCCTCGCGTTGATCGGGAGCTGCGCGTGCCGCGCCGCGCCACGGCGTGGGCGACGTCGCGTCGGGCGACGCGGCGCCACTTCGCCCCGTCGCATCGCGCCCCGCGCCCCCATGTCGTTTCGCGCCAATCCTCCTGCCCCCCCCCTCCCCCTTCCTCTCCCACTCGTCCAACGCGCTGCGCGTTTTGTCCCGTTTGCGAAATGTGTATTCAGTTATTTTGTGTCAGGCTGCCGTCCTGCCCCCCCCCTACTCGCCGCCGTCGCCTACTCGCCGCCCCCCCCTACTCCCCTCCTGGAGCTTCCTTCTCGCCTTCCTCGCCCCCGCCGCCCCCCTTCGATTGTCTTCCATCGCTCCCGCCGCCGCTGCGCCGCCCCCGCGCGCCCCCTCCTTGCCCGTCCGTTTCCTTTTCCGCCCGCCCTTCCCTCGCCTTACTTCCAACTTCTTTTTCCCCGTCGATCCATCGGCGGGCGAGACGTCGCCACATTGCTGCAGCGACGAACCGATGTTAATTCTTACGGGGCGTGCGCTTGAAATGGGTTAGTCCGCGCGCGCTGCATTTCCATGTCGCGCATTGGCCTCCTCGCGCTCGTAGTTCTCGCGTGCGTGTCTCGCTATTTCTACGATTGTCGCGCGCGTCCCTTGATTGTTTCGCCGGCGGGCCGCGCAGTTCACGAGCCGTCAGAAGTCCACGGCGCCCTTCGAGCGATTCGCGCGCGACCTGCGCGCGACGCGCGAACGCCCCGAGCGACGCTCGCGCGACGCACGCGCGACGCGCGTGCGCGACGCGCGCGCGACGCACCCCGACCCGCGCGCGACGCGCCCCTGCCAGCGCGCGACGCACGAGCGACCCGCGCGACGCGCGCGCGACGCACGCCCCACGCGCGCGACGCACGCGCGACGCATGCGCGACGCAGTCGCGACTTTGCCCGCCCCTAGCATTTCTCCGAACAGCAATGCGCAGCGGCCGTCGGCCCAGCGTGCTTGCGCTGTTCACGCGTGGCGGCGGCTGCGTCCTCCATTGCGCCAGGAAGGGCGGTGCTTGCCCCTGTTCCTTCCGTTTGCCTTCCTCGTCGTCCCTGCTCTTTCGTCTGTCCTCCTTCGTCCTCCGTCCTGCCTCGTCCCCCTCTTTCCTCCCTCCTCCTCCTTTCTCCGGGCCCCCCTCTGTCTGTCCCTCCCCCCTCCTCTGTCGTCTTTGTTTTTTGTCCCTTGCCACCCCGCGTTCCACATCATTTCCTGCATCTCCTCCGGCCCCCCTTCCGCGGCCACGGCGCGTCGCCGCGGGCGGCGCCCCCGCCTTCCGCGAACGGCCCCTCCGCTGGCGGTGGAAGACGAAGATCACGAGGAGAAAAGGAGGGCGGGGGGGGGGGGGGGCAGGGGCGCGAGGCGGGCGCGGCGGCGAGGGCGGGCCGGCAGGGGAGTGGCGGGGAGAGGGGGAAGGACGGAGTGGGCGGGTGCTTCTGTACTGGTCATGTTGGTGATCATGGTCGCGGTCGCGTTCGTCGATTTGGTCGCGCTGGCGGTGGTCGCGCCGCTGGTGGTGGGCGGGCTGGCGGCGGTCACGTCGGTGATCGTGCTGGTGTCGGTCGTTGTGGCGGTCGCGAGAAGCGCGGTGGTCGTGGTGGTGGTGATGGGCGTGCCTGGTGTCGGTCGTAATCGTCGAGGTGGATGCGGTTGCGGTCGCATCCCTTTTGTGGTGATCGTGGCGGTGGTAGTTTGGGCGCTGGCGGCGGTCGCGGCGGCCGTTGCGGCGGCTGCGGGGACCTGTTGGCCTAGCGTTGGGGCGCGTTCAGCAGCATCGCGGCACTTGCAATGTTAGAGGGATTTGCTGATCTGCCGAGGTGGCCCAGCGGCCGCCTTCTTCTCGCCAAGAGAGCCGCAGCGTGGGCGACTTTCTTCTTCCCGAAAGCGACTGGCCTTTTCAGCGGCCGTGGAGCGGGCAACGCGCGCGCGATCCGCCCCGCGGGTGTCCGCCGCGCCGGCGACGCGCCCACCAAATTGCCCCCTTGCGAGGGCGACGTGCACGTTCGAGAGGGCGGCCAGCGCACGGGCGACGAATGCGCGACGCGCCTCTCGTCGCAAAGGGGGGGAGGGTCAGCGCGCCGGTCGTCTTGCTGGGCG